CGTTGGAAGCACTGTCTGACGCGTCTGCCTCCGCGACCCGAAAGGAGAAGCGGCGATGGAAGATGATGATTTTCAGGATACAGTAGTAAGAAAATTTTTACCTATAGCAATATTTCAAATTTATACCGTGCAATCAGCGTTGAAAATATTAAGTTGTTTTGGGGTAATGAGGATGAGAATGGCACACCCGTCTAAGTGTGACATTCTCAAGTGTAGTGTCCTTTATATAGTTCTATCGCGGTTGACTAAAGTGGGCACGACGAGAGATGTGGAGTCGAGGTTAACCTAAATACGGATTGTCACTGGTGACCGAATGATGAAGAAGGAATCGTCGCCATTTTCACCGTCCATGTCAACTTGCCCGATGTGGCAAACAAGGACGGAAACCTGTTTCAGACGCGCCGGTGCTGACCTTGCATCGCACAGAACATCACTGAACCTGCGAGGCGCAGGACTCGCCCCAAACCACAACCTCGGCCGAATGCATCTGCACGAACGAGCTCACGAGCGAAACTGTGAGCTGGTTCTTGGGCAAGGAAAGGAAATACACGTGTATGTTAAAATTTCTTAACCTCGTAAGTAATAGTTCTCTAGCGTGACACTTTTTTTGAGAGATGCGGAAAACGTACGTGAAACGTGGCCGTCGACGAGGAAAGAGGTAGGGAACATTCACGGAGCTGACAACAGGCTGCCTGGTCCGGTCTGGCAAGACTAAGACAAGCGCAGCTGTACGAGAAAAAAAGTTCTCAAAAGTCATGCGCCCTTGTACGCAGGTGTTATTAAAGGAAGAAACGACGGCTTGGCTGCCAGCTACGCCTCGCTGGCCTTCGTCGTAATGAGGCCGCTTCTGACAAGGCTGAGATAGTGGCGGTAGAGGTAGCAGCAGCAGCACCTTCTTCTGACATTCGCCTCACCAGCAACAACGATGATCGGCTGTCTGGCAGATCGATGCCAACGTGGAAGGCAAGCGAAGCAAAAGCGAACTATTTCGGACCCGCTGCACGGCCGTTGATCACTATGACTCAGAGGTAGAAAATTTTCCTAGAAAAAAACACTACGTGCTAAAAAACGACAGCTGGAAATCATGGAAGCCACTTCGGCCGGACTGAACGGAAAAGTTCGAGCGAATCGTTCGTTACTTCCTTCACCGTGCCATCACCGCGTTTGATCTTCAGCCTTAGGTCCACTAGACTAGAATATGAGTTTTACTCGTTTACGGCCTATTCTTCAGTTTGTTCATTCCTCGATTAGTATTTCACTTTCCGGTGAGGAGCGAATATGCCTCTCAAAGAGCTCCTATTCACTGAATCTCGAAACCAAAAGCATGTAACTCGCATCGCCCATGTGCGGAGAGTTACAAGAATGTGTCATACCATTAAATCATGTAATGAAGCCGAAATCAATTTTGGTAATGATGCGCAAATTAGACGAATGCATAGAGTTTTCAGAAGGCAAATTAACTGCAAAAATTCAATTTAGTTTCGTCTGCTGCGAAAGCCTTTCTCGGGCGCGGAAACATGTAACGCTTTTGGAACGTCAGCACACAGCTCACAGTACATTTGTGAGACGGATTTCATTAATAAATACCAAACTGAACGGGAAACTGCTAAGTCGAGGAATTATCAGGGAAAAAAACCTTCCATCGCTCTACCCCATTTAGGTCGATCTTTCTAGTCTGCACAAGGGCACAACGTTACCGTGTAACATCCAATCTCCAGCTCCAACTCCAGCTCAGTCGAGCGCAGAAAGATCGTTTTTGCTAAATATTCGCCATCCACATCATCTTCCACTTTTGAAAAAATAGATCACTATTAATCCTCTTGCTGATTCGAACTGTTCAGTCTATCCAAATTAAATCTACATTTATGACTTAACAAGACGGAGTAAATGTAAAAGAAATGATGGAGGACCGAAAAAGAACAATCAGAAAAGTTAAGAATGGTTTATGACGAGCATCCGAGCGCCATATGTGGCAAAGAATTACTTCTGGAAGGGTATGCATGTCCTGAAGTGTAGGGCTATGTGTCCATTAAGCTAGGTTTCACGTGAATGTGCGAGTAAAGGTTCCTCGGTCAGAAGGGTCCAAAGGCACCTGTCTGTATGATATAATGTGGCTTGCTCCTACGACCTATCCTACTTGGTCTAGAAGCATGTTCCATTGCGACGTGACAGATGCGGCAGTCCGTAGGATCAACGACAGCTCATGCTTAAGATCGTACGAAGTCGTGCTTGTCCGGAAACGTACAGCTGGGCAGCGTGTGAGTTATGTATCGGAAATGAGTTCCAGAGTGACATCTGGTCGTTTCGTTTATCAGAAGGTGATATGTGGGGTTGCATTTATGATACACCTCTGGCTAGCTCTCGTGAGAAGTCGCTCTTGCAATGAAGGCTAGAGATGTTAGAGGCGAAGAGAGGGGCGAGAAAGAGGGCTCCAGTCTTTCACTAAGCAGGTGATGGCATAGACAGTTGTTTATACGACTTATGGGTATTGTGGTGTTTGACCTGAAAGACATAGCTGATTCAACGTCGACTCCATTACGAGGTCACAAAAGTCCCGCATGCAATAGGAGGGCTGCGGGTTGGCGTCATGGGTGGCCGGATAGATACGACGCTATCCTCTCAGTACACCCTCATAAATCGTTCGTCATGTGTTGCGTTACGACGCTGCTTAAGAGTGAGATTATATGTTGGCGCGGTGGCGCGCGACAACGAGTTTTGACTGCAACAGAGGCGAGCCGAGGCGAGGCGAAGTGAAGCGAGGAGACGAGAGGAGAGGCGAGGCGAGGATAAACGAGCAGTGGACGGTGATGGGGCGCTTTTGCACGCCAATCAATTCGTCATCGTTCGCCAATGGCTTCAACGGATTCGTTCGTTCGTTCGATTAATGGTCGCCGTCATGGTCGTCAGAGAATTTCCCTTGAACATTTTTCGTTCGACGACCGAGGACCTCATAAGAAAAACAAAATACCAGCGAGAAATGCCCGTTCGGTCGTCGTTCGATTACTTTTTGACTAAGTTAACGACCGAGGACCGTGACCTGTGAAAAAATTCCTTAGATTATCTCCAAGCTGCTGGCGTTTCGACTTGCGTATGTGACAGTGACTCTGACCCGGCGGAAAACGAGGACTGGTGACTAATGAAGAATTTTCGTTAACTGTACAAACATTCCACGTTATTTCCGTTACGTCAATCAGCTTGACATGTATAACGAAGGCTTGGCACCTGTGACTGTCTATTTGTTAGTCGAAACTTAGCGCGACAAGCGAAGTGGAGTCGACGTTTTCGCGCAGACGCGTGCAGACGTATTCATAACTGGCAGTGACAAAATTTCATTGTGTGAGTTGTAAAGTTTTCCTCCGTTGCAAACAGCTGTTTGCACCTAATTCTTTTCCTCGGCTAATCTACAAGCGTAAAGTTTGAGTTAGAGTTAGAGTGACGGAGAAAACAGAGCAGCGAGTTCTGCTTTCGCCTTCGGCGCTTCTGTAAAGACCTCATCTCGTCTTTCGTCGTACTATCTCGTCTATAAATCAGATCATGATGTCGCTCCTTCGCCCCAAGGCAATATCCGTCACAAACGCAGATTTTCGATGATTCATAACGGAAAGTACTGCGTTCATAAAAAGTAACTGGCAATAAACTTGGTCGACAAAAATCGCGAAAATTTGCATGATTGAGGCCCAGGCCTGCAAACTCGTCAGATAAAAATGTGTGGCACGTTAGGCCTGCTCGGAGCCTTCGTCACAATGTATTCTTATACGTCATTTAAGTTTGTCTCATTAATTTGTATTTTATTCCAAGAGTGACTGCGTCCTTGGCGGCGATCATCGACCGACCGACAGACTGATCGGGTCGATAGCAAAAGGCTCTGGTGAGATCTGTCGCGCAGCAGTCAGCAAATGGATGACGAGTACCGAGTACTGAACGAATGAGTCAGCTGAGGAATGAAGGAACGGTGAATATCGATTTTCCTCAATTTCTTCCTGCTCCGTGTCCGCATCGAAACGAAAAGCTAGCGGTTTTCTGCCGAGGTGCGCAACATTTCTACGGCTCTATAGTCGACGAAGTTGTACACTCTCGCTTAACAGTAACCAGTTTCCGAGCGACAGGACCAGGTCTTTTTTACGTGTTTGCGTTCGTCTCCGTAGTGGTGCTGGTGAAGGGATGGATGGATGGCCGTGGCGATGTGTTGCAGTGGACGACGGACTGGTTTCGAACGTGATATGCGTGCGTTCATAACAGAAATAAATACTAGTCGTATGCGCGGCGAGGATCACGCAGTGTTTGTTTGCACATGAACGAACAGTGTGCATGACGGCTAGGAGAGGAAGTGAAGCAGAAACGGCCACACACACACACAAAACGATACTGACTTATAGAGTAGTTCTCATTCAGTACTTGGGCACACAAACGGACTAGACAAAGCTAGAAACTTGAAAATGGCGAAACAACAGTTTAGTTTAGTCAGAAGTACAACGAAGTACCGGTGGTACTTTTCACTTAAGCCGTATTAATTGCGGACAGCAGTAGCGGTGGTGAACAATTTCGATTAATAAACAGTGGTTTATAATTAAGAAGCGATGATGAGTTTATGACCGTAGTCGTTTAAAACAGACAAAGATGTCTGGTATTTGACGAAGGTGAAAGTACTTACTTTCTGCGGAACTCGGAGAGTTCGCTCTGCAGGCGGTTGATCTGGTCCTCAAGCTGGGCCTTGCTCTTGGCCGTGTCGTCGATGAGCTTGCGCGCCTCGGTTAACTCTCCCTCGTACATGGACTTGATGGACGACGTGTCCTTGCCCCAGCGGCTGCGCAGGGCCTCGAGATCGGCGGCCAGCTTGCGGTTCTGCGCCTCCAGGAAGCGCACCTTCTCGATGTAGCTGGCCAGACGGTCGTTCAGGTCTTGCATCTCCTTCTTCTCGCGTTCTCGCGATTCGAGGATCGCCGACGCGGCACCGGCCGAGAACGATGGGCTGAAGCTGGACGACGTGGTGCTGCCCATCTCGGTGACGATCTTCAGCACCCGACCTCCGCTCGGGCTCCACATGTTGGACGTGGACGTGCGCGCAAAGTTTGGTCGCGCAGAGATCGTCGAACGGTACTCGGACGATTCCATATTGCTGCCTCCTCCGACACTGTGTGTTTCGTCGCTAGTTCGCGTATTACTGCTGGTGGTAGTGGTCGTCCTCACGCTCGAGCCTCCCTCCGTGCTAATACTGGTGCGTTCCGCTTTCGGCGTAGTCTTTACCTCGGGCATGACGTCACGTTGCTGAAAAGCAAATCAGTCTTCACTTCGTCACTGAAAGAGGAGGTGCAGCTCGCATAGCCGATTCGCCACCAATCAGCATCGGCTGCAACTGCCGCCGTCACCGCGCCACGAACCAGGCCACTTTTTACGCCGCGCGACGCGGCAGCAGCTGCGAGCCGCTGACGCGACGAAGCGCTGTGCCAGGGCCTGGGTCTGGGCTGGGTGCCGGCGTTCTTTCGAACGGCCAAGCCCATTTGTTCAGAGGCTATTCGACACAGCTCCACCGACCCACCGACCAGCTGTATGCTGCCAGACCCGTCGTCGTCGCTGCCGAGCCGACCATCGCCGGCGCCTCTCCTACTCTTGTTCATTCGTTGATCGGTCGGTTCGGTCGATCGGTACAGTTCGCCCCCCTGCGGCGAAACCGGTTCGCTCACTACGGTTCGACGACGATCTACTCTCTTCGACGGAAGGCGTTTTATGCCACCACTTTTTCTGTACTGCCTGATGCTGGTAAAACCGACGCGCGACGACCGACCAACGAACGTGCAAACGATCGCCGTGCCGCGCCGCGCCGCGTCGCGATGACTATGCCGCATGAGTCATCGCGACGCGACGCGACGCGACAGAATTCATAGCGGCATTAAAAAAATGTGAACAACAATAAATAGCTAGTCGGTGAGTCATCGACGACGGCACTTCTGGCCAACGACTGCCAAGCAAAGAACAAGGAAACACACACGAACGACAACAGGCCCTGCCTCTGTCGGTCCAATCGCTTCGACGCGATGACCGTTCGACAGTGACAATAGCCGACAGCTATTCTTCCAACCCTCTCATCGCCCAATCAGCGCACGAGACGCACAGTGAACGGTGATGTACAATGATGACTTCACCGTTTTGGTATGAGAAATATGTGACCCCGTTCCCGTTGACAACCCGCCACTGACTCTCTTCCTAA